AGCTAAATAATCGCAAAGGGTGAAAGAAAAGAAAGTAAAGAAGAATAAGGAAATAGATAAGTTGGTAGAAAAAACGATGGTGGAGAGGGTTTATAAAGGAGGGAAGCCATTTTGGTGTGGCACTTAGGCTGGTTTAACACAGCCTCTAATTTTTAGAGTAATCTTCAAATTAGTGCGGCGGGTTGCACTTGGGCGCCATTAGGGTAGCCGGGTGATGTCAGGCTTGCAAATTAGGAGTAAACGAGTATATAATTTTATGTATGATACTTAGAATCTTAATAAAGTACTGGCGAAACTGCCTAAGTGAAAAAAAAAAAAAAAAAAAAAAAATAATATACAAAGCAATTCATATACAACTCTTTCCATCGATTACTTGTACCAAAAATTTTTCAGAAAATTTTTTGAACTCAAAACATAGTGAAGAGGTCATAGAAAGCGTCTAGAGTCAAAATAAAGCCATAAGTCAGCACTTGTTGTTTAGAGGTAGTTCTCATATGCTACTTGCTAACAGGTTTAAAGTTTATTACTTACTGCTGGGATGGCACTTGTTATTTAGAAGTAGTTCTCATACACTACTTGCTAACAGGCTTAGAGTTTTCACTCATAAAAAGAAGAGTTTGTTTGGGAAAAACAGTTCATGACAAGTAACTGCTATTTGCTTAATCACTCATTACTCTAGATAAATTTTTTTTTCTACTTGCCCTCTTGTCTTAGCAACAAATTTTCAAAGTGGGCAAAACAGCTTACCCCCATCTAAAGATCAATATTGTTTACTAGTTTTCTTTTTCAGTTAACATAGTAGATAGCAACCATGTGTTTGGCCTAATTCAGATATAGTGCTACTAGTTTGGTCTGGAGCTAACGATTAAGATACTTCTAATGATAGCAACAAGTGGCTTGAGATATGAGTCAGCAGCACTTGGCTTGAAATACAGATTAGAAGGCTTGGCCAAAACTTTCAGTATTAACATGGTTCAGAGAGAAAAGTTTGAAGATTAAGGTAAAGCTTTACAATAGAGATATACAATATTGCTATTGTTATATAATTCTTATCTACCTAGCACAGTTTATAATAGTGCATTTTAGTGTGTAGTTTTTCTTGTCAGAGTTACATAACTTTCTTGTCCTTTTTCATCATTGTTCATTTATGATAAAAACATATTTAGGATAGTGTTTTAATTGTTTTAGATTCTTTTATTTCTCCTAGATGTAGTTGTTCTTTGGTAAAAGTAGTATATATAATCCTTGCTTAGAGAAAAGCAAGAGATAGGTATTCTACCTGGATTTTGGTGAAAGAACATCTTGAAGATTGGGTGATCCTGACAAGGTATACAACGGCCTACTTATAAACTGAAGGAGTATCAGAGATGGTATGAAATTCTTAGCAAGTTAAGGATTTCAAGGGAGATAAACAGTTGGTATGGCAGATCATATTGGGTTTAACCTAGTAAGTCTTTATTAGGTTAAAACAATAAGCTATAAGAATTTTAATACATGAGTGTATATAAATTATATAGTAGTTTATATAAATAAAGACAGGATTGCTTAAAAATAATAATAATAATAATAATATACAAAGAATAGAATCACTAGACTAACAGCTAATATTAGACCAAATCTTTGATACAAACTTAGCAATTTTAGAAAAAAGCTTAGAATTAAATAATAGTAGTAATACAAATAGTTTTAAAATATAGTATAAAAAAAATATATGGACACACTAGGTTTAGGTTTAGGTTTAGGTAAAGTTAAATATCACATGGGTGTGACACAACATGGGATGTGAAAAATATCAAATTATATTAATAGCTTAAACATCACATAGATATATTTCTAAATATGAAAATTATAAATTTACTATAATTGGTCATACTATATACAGATCAATTTAATTTTTAATAATTTTTTTTGAATCTTTAATTAAAAATATATTAACAATCATCTAACCAAATTTGATAAAATTTTTTTTTATTCAAATTTTACTGCCTTCTACAATTTAAAAAAAAAAAACATTAATCAAATTGGATAGTTGAGTGTCAAGATATCTTCAATCAAAGTTTGAACCCAATTTTTGTCAGCTTATATTCTAGAATTTTACAAAACTTTGATCAAAGATATCTTGGCACCTATCTAACCGAATTTAATCAACTTTTTTAATTCAAATTTTACTGCTTTCTATAATTAAAACAAAAAAAAGTTAATCGAATTTGGTTAGGTGGGTGTCAAGATATCTTCGATCAAAGTTTAAACCCAATTTTTATCGCAGCTTATATTTTAGAACTTTACAAAACTTTGATCAAAGATATTTCGACACCCACCTAACCAAATTCAATCAACTTTTTTTAATTCAAATTTTACTGCCTTCTATAATCAAAACAAAAATTTTGATCGAATTTGTTTAGGTGGTGCTAAGATATCTTCGATCAAAGTTTGATACCAATTTTTGCCGCAGCTTATATTTAACAAATATATATTTTAAAGTTTTACAAAACTTTGATCAAAGATATCTTGATACCTATCTGGCCAAATCCGATCAACTTTTTTTTTATTCAAATTTACTGCCTTCTACAATTAAAAAAAAAAAGCATTGATCGAATTGGACAGGTGAGTGTCAAGATATCTTCGATCAAAGTTTGAACCCAAGCTTATATTTAGAATTTTACAAAATTTTGATCGAAGATATCTTGACACTCACCTGACCAAATTCTATTCATCAAATTTGGTCAGGTGGGTGTCAAAATATCTTCGATCAAAGTTTTTTCAGTTTATTATTTTACCACTTTATTCTATTTAATTAATCTTTTTTATTTCATTTAACATTATATATTTATTAATCTAAAATAATCACCAACCGGACCAGTACATATAAAATAATAAATTACTCTATAATACAAAGGTAAGTATACATGACCTACGTACGTATAATAATTTATTTACCTTAAAAATATATCGATCCTTACTGATTAATCCAATGCTAATTATAGCGAGTCATTCAGGTTCTTGAATACTTGACTACGCAATACTTCTTACTGAGTAAGAAGCATTGCACAATCGAAATATTCAAGAACCTGAATGACTTACTTTAGATAATCACACGAACTTACCTTAGTCGAATGAAGGCAAATTGGGGCTCCAATACAAATCGGGCATTCAATATATATCAGAATGCCAATAGTTCTATTGGTAACTCGATAAAGTTTGCCTTATAGCTTTATCAATTACTAATAGAGCTATCGACATTCTGATATGTATCGAACCCGATTTGTATCCAATTATGGTGATTATATTATTGTTATGTATTTTGCAATACGTAAAAGGGTTCGTTACGACAAAAATCTTGGAAAGATAAATTGAGTCTACAATGTATAGCTTAGGATCTCGAGTCGATTCATTCTCAGGAACTCGTTCACAAAGGTTTGCACAGTGGAAATATATATAAGAAGCTTTAAGTAACGCATATGTCGCTGATTTTGGACTTTCTAGAAAAGTAAGAGAGGGAAAAGATTGTGGATATAGCACCTGAGGTTTTGGTGGGTCAACCATATACTCGGCAACTGAGATTTCAACTGGACAATGAGCCTGCTTAAGAAATGTGTAAATTTTATAATGAAGAAAGATTGAAAGGTAAAAATTTTTGTTCAATTCTTAATACATTAGAACAATTTCTAATAAAGAAGTAGCGAAATCCAGTTAATATTATCGATTTTTGCTTAGATGATCAAATCAATCCTACGATTCAAATCGTCCTTGCAAGTTGCTATAACTATGGTAAAAAGATGGACACAAATCATTCAATTATTACCAAAAATTAGCAGAGATGAATGATTCTTGTGAAATATTTTCGTCGATGTCTGTTATCAAAATAGAATTGGAATGAAAAGGATGAATATAAGGCTTTCATTCATTCTCAAAAATCTGCAGAGATGGGTCTCACTAGTGGAATGTCAAGAGTTGCAGAATGAAAAATACTGGTATCGAAGGTAAATCTTATTTAAGTCTAAATTTGAGCATGTGTATTGTACGCATCACAATCAAATTATATGAATAAGATGATTAGTAAATGAAACGATTGAAGTGCATTATATGATGGTAAGTAAGCATTTATGTTCTTTGTTTGTAAACTTGACATACTGACTTTAATTTCACCGATTAATAAATTATTACAGGCAATTAGTGCGAATGAAGTGATTTAAAGAGCATGATGTAATGGTAAGCAAGCATTTATGTTCTTAGTTGTGGACTGACTTTAATTTCACTGATTAATAAACTTTATTAATACATAATATATATTTGATGATGATTAAAATACAGAAAAAGTATACATTGTAATAAGAACTAATTGTATAGTAAACGAGTTTACTAATTTCTCCCACCACTTCTGATTGGTTCTACTAATTATTCACATATCGGAGTATCTGTGCTATTAATTAAATTTATAGTACTCCATAGTAAACGATCCACAAAATGAACTTTTAAGTAAAAAATTTTATAAACTGCAACGTTTATAGCATGGTGACCCCAAGTAAAAAAGAATATTAATAATTGCATCAGAGAATTTCAGCTTAGAACCATGAATGTATTTCATTCAATAAATTAGAGTATAGCGCGAAATACGCTCGGGCCTTCATGTGCATCCCGCATCCTAACATAGCATATAATTTGATCAGTTTAATGTAATTATATATTTAATATATGCTCCATAAATAAATGCACTTTTACCTAAAAACATGCAGTTATGAAGATTGACTGTATTGGATTTAGAAAATCTACTCTTATTTCAAAATAACGCGCAGGTGGACGTTATTTCGTGCACGATATCAATTCATTGTATTCCAATAGAACTTTCTATTTATTCTAAGCTCTCTTTATTTATAAAAAAAAAACGCTTTTATATACATACACATATCTAAAAAATATATATATAAAAAAAATATATATTATATACATAAAGAAAAATATACATATAAAATATATATGTATATTTAAAAAAAAAATAAAAATTAAACGGATTTCTTCCGTTTATTCGCTTCTAATTCATTAAGACGTTCTTCGAGACGCATAACCCTTTCGATTAATGATAACCCATTGGATGCATCGGGTGAATTGGATCGAATATACTATCATGTTTATTATGAATACATATTAGTACATATTTATTTATGTATATAGCCAAACACTATAATTACATTAACAGGAAGCCCTTGTGTGAAGGGAGAATTGAAATGGGTCGCCTTTTTAAAGG